CATACTGAGGGCGAGATACAGACGCGCGGCCGAGTTGTTCACCTTATATAGGTTGCCGCCCAGAAAGCTAATGTTGTTGCGTCTGCGCTCTGAGCCTGAGCCCTGTTGAGGGCGAGATGCAGACGCGCGGCCGCGCTGTCCACCTTATATAAGTTGAAAGCTAATGTTACTAAATTATAAGTTTAAGATAACAGATGGGATACGGTGCCCCGAACTCGCGAAGGTTTTAAATTGCATGCGTAGGAGTAAGTGCACACGCAATACTCAGTTTTCGCCTAGGCAGCACCTGGCTACAGGGAGCGCAGGATTAGGGTCCCTCTTCCCGGCTTCACCCCAGAGCTTCCTCACCCTTGTGAATGAAAGTTCCTCAAACTTTGGTAGGTAAACCGGAATGCGGTATGTCCATTTTTGTGCGATCACGGGTCAAAGATTTCATTCCGCGCGTAGTTTTCGGGGTACAGTGTCCCGAATGTTTTCCTGCACTTATAAGCTTGTTGTGTTGTTTTTTTAAGTTTTGAATCAATAGCTGTTCAAAGATCGCATATTTCAGTTGATTCTACCCGGATGGAAAATAGGTGTTGGTTTGGCAGTGGCGGTGATAGCGGTTGAAGAAGGATATCAGTACTACAAACATGGCACAACTTCATGGGACGCCCATCATTAAACTGCGATGTTGATAGTTTTATAGTGCATACCGTAGATTAATAAAGTATCGACGAATCTTGGTGTCTGGTTGATCATCGTGGTAGTGTGTTTTTCACTGATATATCCTCCTTTTTGCCATTTGGCTCTGATTTTCTTGTATAAATGATCTAGAAGAGAAGGTGACTTTCAGGGCTTATGTCAGCCCTTGAAGCGTTTGTAAATGAGCAAAAGAAAAAGGCAGGAGGAAGTGTTTTGAGTGGTGGGATCGGTTCAGCATCCTTCAGCTCGTTTGGCGACTTGAGGAGCAAGCTCACTTCTTCCTTAAGGTGAAGTTTAGTGTAGATTTGCTTTTTTGGCCGGGGGGGGGGCTTTGAATTATGCCAGTTCTGAGCCATTGATGTAATCTGATGTATTTGAAGTGGTTTACCGCTTTCTATCACGCTCCGAGACAGCCGATTCCGAATCACTGACTGGTGAAGGCGGAGATGGACAATTGCCGAATACAAAGAACAGGTTAATTAGCGCTGCTTTTCTTCAAATGAGGTTCGAATGTGATTTGTGTGTGCTTTAGAAAAAATGGAGGATGGTTTTCATCCGGGGATGAAAGCTTTTTCGGAATGTCACGGACGCAACGAATTTTCGCCTTCTTTCTCTCACTGCTGGGCTCAATATTTGCTTCTCAACGGTATGCCTTGATTCCTCACGCTT